ACTTAAACATTGAACATGCTTTAATAAAACAACATTTAATTATGAATGAATATAACCTTTGGGTTACTCATTAGAACTATATGTGTGACAATTTAATTTGAAACAATAAGGATGTCAAGAGTAAAGTACAGAAAAAAAAAAAGAAGGGGGGCCCCTTGAGAAGAATGGCTATGATACAGAACTGAAAGCACATACTGACACAAAACTCTATTTTTACCAAAGAACACAAATTTACATCCGCCAATGAAATATTCCGCCTCCCAGTATTGGCTTTGGTATTGAGTCTCAACCTGCAGCTACAAGATTCTGGTATGCAAATCAATTATATGCTTGTGTTTTCAATGAAGAGGATGGCAGCATGCAGAATATGTCACAACAAAAAGTGGCAGGCAATACGCTGAACCACATGCAAGACTTGAAGGAAACTCAACTTCCCTCTTCATCCGAGGTATAAACTGGTAATTGCCAGACCTTAGTATTCTTCTTCGGATCATCTGTGAGGCTGAGATCCGCATCATCTTCCTTGAATGTTCTGATGAATGTTTTTGCTCCCATCATGATGAGCCTCTCAACCATAAATAACTGGTAATTGTTTTCTATTACTGGGTCTAGGATGTGATTGAAATTTGAGGAATAAGCCAGTTTATACCTGAGAGTATGAAAAGCCATAAGTAAGCTACAATCTTTGATACAAACTTTTAACATCTTGACATTATAATTGTCAAATATTTTTTTCCCATCACTCACACAGAACAATTCAATTTATAAAAGTACGGCGTCTGTAGAAATAAAATAAATGGCAATGGTGAACAAGAGAAAATCTGCAGTTGTTTAGAATCAAACTACAATTTCCTAAAAAAACAAGAATTCAACCGAATCTTGATGTGTGAGAGCAGGCTAAGAATTTGGAGGCAAAATATTTCATTATGATCCTATAGAACAATTATCCTACAGAACTTGGAACTTGAACTGGTCTTTTGTCCCACTGTCTCCTATCCTCCCAAAACATGTATTTCAGAACTATCTTCGACACATCAAATCCAACTACTGGTCACCATCCACATGCCAAATTCATACAGTGGTGGTCACTACTACCTTAACAATCTCCATTAGAACTCATACACCAGCCCATACCAATGCATCAATGCTTTTTTACACAATTTGTTCTGGTCAATACCTTTTTTAACCTAAAAGGAAAGAGGTGCTAGAAAAAAAAAAAAAAAAAGAGAATTGGAGCTTTTAAACAACATCTCAGGAAGGATTGCTGAGGCCCTGACTCAGCACAGCAGAGACAAGCAAATGCCGAAGCTAATTTCTTAATGCAGTTAAAGTGTAGTTTCCTCACATTCCAGGTAAGGAATATGATAATTGATACATTTGGATCGGTTACAACAGTTTAAGATGTAGCAAAAGTTTCAGAGACATTTACCTGACAGAGAGAGGTGAAAAGAATCCTGGTGTCCTCTCATTTGAAGCAATAAAAAGAGTTCGTCCAGGTGGGACCCATTTCTGGATTCTATGAAGGATAAATTCTGGGCGAGTGTCCCTGTCCATATGAGGATGTAAGCTCCTTTCGACACCGAACCTGTCCTTCCTTGTTTTGATTTTATCTCCTCGACGTACATGTATAGCATCATAGTCACGAAGAAGTGCTTTGATCTATGGGCATTTAGTCAATCAAGGGCAGACAAGGTATTGTAATACATAAACAATTCCAATACAGTAGAAAACTTTGTTGGAATTAGTTGTAAAAAATCATTACTTAAAAATTGAGATATAACTAGACTCTTTTTCTTGTTAAACATTATCCCACATTTCCAAACCCAGCAGTACTAAACCAGCAATATAGCTAAGTCAAAAGAATAAAATGCGGCCATTAAGAATCAGTTGATGGTTAGTTGTCGAGTAAGTTCAATTCTATTCATGGTTTAATTTTATAAGTTATGTCAATTCCCATGTTTAGAAGTAGGGTTGTAATTTCTGCTATTTATATGCTCTAGATCTGTTTATGTAATTTGTTCATGCAGCCATTCTACTGATATTTCTTAACTGCAAGATTATCCTTATATTTAACCAGATGAAAGTCACTAATGGTACTGGTAGTATGGTACCTTCCTAGTTCACTGTTTATTCATCTTAACCACTTTTATTTGATTTTTACATTTTCATTAACATGTCACTTCTTAACTGACAGACTTTCTGTTTTCCCGTTTCCTACTGCCTGTCAATCACTCTATTTAGATGCAGATTCAAGCATATACCAGTGCTAGCCTAAGACCCACTCCACCCTCCTTCTTCTTCCCCTCCCCTGAAAAAGATAACCAAGCTTCTCAAGAATCTCAGTATATTCCATTAACAAGATAAAAGCAGAATAATATAGGACTAAGTATTTCACACCTTGTCAGCTGCATTTCTTAATTTTTCAGCTGCCATTGAAGGAAGAAATGAATATGGCAACATTATAGCACTATGATTATTTCGATCCTTGCATTCCATAAACCTGAGAGAATGAATTCTAACATAAGGAATCCAGTTTAACATGATACAGTGATTCACTACTCAATCAATGCTGATATGAATAAATAAAAATCTAATCACAAGGTTGATCTTTTGTGATTCTTGACTCTTCTTTAATCAAAATCCAACCAATTTAAAACAAATGGTCAGAAAAGGACCTATGTCTCATCAATATAAGAATTTCCTCCAAAACCTTTTCGCATAAATGCTACTAAAAGTTCTTTTATATAACAGGGGGCAATAGTTTGGGGTAATGGTAAAAGTCTAAAGTTGGTGAGCACAACAGGGCACCTTTTTTGGTCTGGAGAGTGGCACTGTAACAAAAGTGTCGAAGGTTCAAATCTTGTTAGTGGCCCCTTTAGGAAACACGTTTACTGGTAGGGTTGTTTCCAATTCACCCCTGACTCCCCTACATGGAACTCAACCTAGTTCTTTTTCCCTTTGTTCCCCCTTCCCATATTTTTTGGTTGTGTTATGACTTAGCATCATTTTAAATCACATAAGATATCAACTTCTTCTTCCCCCCTTTAAATGACTCCAACAGTTGTCCATTCTAAAGTCAAAACTTTGAAAGCAAAGCAGGGAAAAGAAAATATACTGAATGGATATGAAGTACCATGATAGAGGGCTTGCAGTTCGGTTTATAAGCAAGAGATTTGAGTAGTGACTACTCTCCTCGAGATCAACACGACTAACTCCTTCAACATGAGCAACTCCCCTATCTCCCAACTTCATACTTGTTGACAGTATCTGATACCATGTTTTTGAGTTATCTAAAATTACAGGAACAGTGTTGGATATAAGGTCTATATCATACAAAGAATCCATGGCACAAGAGTTTGCTGCCCACCTGCCAAATTAAAAAAACACAAAGTTCAGATCATGCAGATACTTCCTTTGCTGCTAAGCATGAGATGGAAATGTTAAAAAACATGGATGCAAAATCATGTCTATCTTTCTATGCAGTTTAGAATGCAAAGCATGATAACAAATTACAACATACTTTTTTCCATAAGTGTTTTTAGAGATCTTTTACATAAAAGAGGTATACTCAAAGAAATCAACTAAAAGGGGAAAACTTCAATAAATCACCTTTCCTCAGCACTTGCATCTTTAGATTGATGGAGGATTCCTTTCTGATTATGTATTGGATTGATGCACATCCTAGAAGGCATCACAAAAACTCTGCAACAGTAAAATTTTGTAAGATCCCATAACTAATTTGTAAAATTCTATTGAAAAAGCATACCCATTCCAAAACAGGCAGTTCAAAATTCAGTAAATTCACCAACTTTACCCACATTTCTCAGAACAAAATCCAAAACAAACAACATCATACTCAACAAAATCCCATAATCTAATGCATATACTCACAAAAAGCACCAACCTTTTCAAGAACATGGCTTCCTCAAGAGCACACCTGAGGCTAGATTCCTGGTGACCCAGACCCTCACACGATTCACAATGCTTTCCCGGACAATCGATTCTGTTTCCCCAATACAAGTACTTTTCATGGACAGTGTGCTGCCTCTTTTCCTTGGATTTCTTCACATTGCCTAGGGTTTTTTGAGAGAAAAATGAAAACCCACTTGAGAAATCTATGGAGCATAGCAGATACAAGAGAAAAATGGCAGCTACGCAGATCAAAATGGTGGGAATTTGGGATTTGGATCTCAGTTTGGGCTTCGGGGTTTTGTGAGTCGCCATTGAAGTTGCAGAGAAGAAGCAAAGCAAGAGAGATGGATATCAGGAACGTATTAAACGGCAACGTGCTTTAGATCTTGCCAGGTCAGCCATGTGGACCTACTTTTACACGTCAGCAAATCGGATCCAATAACTCCATTAGTAAAAAATTAAAATAATGAAGTGTGGTAAAATTTCTTAATTCGGTCTACTTGTTCTTCAAAATTACAATTTCATCCCAAAGGTTTATGGTCTGTGATATTTCTTTTAAAA